CAATGAAGACTTTGAAAGACAGATATTTTAAAATATTGGGCGTTTTTTTAAAAAAACAGGGAGAACCTTAAGCAAAGCCTGAGGCTCTGGTACATAAAGTTTAAATAAATCATTTGATTTTTACATTTAAAGCTGTTCTGTCATTCACGCAGTTGGAGGAGGGTTGAACAGAGTCTTTCCCCTACCCCTTTTGAAATCCTCACAACAACCCTGTGAAGTACACCAGGGCAGGAGAGAATGAGGTCCCCAGAATCACTCAGCGAACAGAGATTTGAACCCAGGCCCCTAGCCCAGTACCTTGTTGACGTCAGCACACTTTTGTATAATCATCAGTGTTAACGACATCACACACATTGCAACAAATATAGGTGTTTTTCTTAGATTACCGCTACTGGGAAATGTCTTTTCTCTCCAGCTGGCAAAAGCAGTATCAGACAGAACATTGGTGCACGATGCGCTCGCTCCGTGTGGGGAGGAAGGGGGAGGAGTCAGGAGCAACAAGGCAGGGAAATAGATCACTGGGTCAAAGGAGTGTTCCTTGCAGGAGGTATCAACTCCATCAGATCAGCTTTCAAGTACCGAAAACCAAATGTTAGGGGTAAGATCTGGAATTTGCTTTTGTCCCACTACTCACCGTCCTGTGGCGTCGGCAGCGGCTGTGGAAAATAGTACCCTGGTTTGTCTGCAAAACAAAAGATTGGGGGGTGGCATTAGTTGAGAGATTCAAGAAAACACTTTGAGCCACACAGCTGTTGGCTGTTATTCCTCACTTGCACATGGCACTGTAACAAACCAGTATTCAGAAACATCAAGGTGAACTCCGAATCCCTCTCAATGATCTGCAGATCAACTCAGAAGTAAGTCCCGGTGACTGCAAAGGGACTTACTTCCAGGTGAGCATGCTGTGACTGCAATTGGAATGGTTTCTAGATCCTTCCATACTATCAAACCGTATGCCCTAAACACCAATCTACAAATGAGGGTGCTCGCTGCCTCCCTGAATGACTACCTGTTCTGGACCTGCTTCCTGCCAATCAGCCATGTCTTTGCAGCAGCTGTAATAGATGGATTCAATTATCATGTAGAGCAGGGTTAGCCATCCTGGGAGTTACTGTGGGACCACGCCTCTCAACAGCAGAGCCTAGCCAGCATGGCCAATGGTCACAGATGTTGGAAGTTGTAGTCCGGAGGCGACCCCCTGATGTATAGCAATGTGGCAAAATATGATTTGCCTTCAAACAGAGGCAAATCTGTCATGCCTCTGAACGATGCCCCATTCTGGGCTTGATACTTTCCAATGAGGAAGCCTACCAAGGACGGACACTCATGCAGAGTCCGAGGGGCAGGCTCCCTTGAGAGCAGGTCAATAAGGCTCCAAAAGTAAACCTTTTCTGGAGCCATGCCCGTCTCCGATGCTAATTCGGAATTTAAAAAACGCACGCTGATGCTTAAGGGGACGCTGTTTGTATCCACACACAAAAGCACACACAAAAACCCAATAGTAAATATATTTCTCTTCTAGCACTGGGGGAGGTAAGGGATGTGACAGCAGCTGCCTTGGGCAAGTCAATCTGTCAAGGCCCCTCCTGACCCCAGCTGCGATGCAAATCAAACTATTTATTACCTATCGTGCAAGGGTCTCCCAAGACACTGATCCATCAAAGCCATTTGAGTTGATTGGTGACCTGTGTTTGCAAAGCTGCCGCTTGTTATCCAGTTTGGTTGGGGGAGGCCGGGAGAGGAAGGGGTGTCATAAAAGACAGGAGAGGCATAAGCAGCACTAAAACTGCCACCCCCACAACCCTGATCAAAAGAACCTCTTTTTTTTCGTTCTGCAGATTCAAGGAGTAAAGGACCCACTTCGGGCAGCAAGAGTGGAGCAATTAAAAAGTGGAAAGATGCATGCTCTAATACGGCCCACCCTGTGTGTAGAAAGCTAGCATGTCATGGAGAAACCTGAGTCAAAAATACAACTAGGCAACATCTAGAAAGAACAGCATACTAGTTTGTTAGAAAAACAAAAAGGCTAACATACCCTATGTCTACCACTGCAATGTTTGAACCCTGTTTTTCAGAATTTGGTAAGAAATCAAGGCTCTAGTCATCTTGGCTGTGATGTTAGTTGGGTGTGTCCAGCAGTAATAACTATTTCCAGTGGTTTGAGGGGGGGCTGCATTTAAATCATCATCACAGAGAATGCCCCGCCGTTCCTGTACAGAGCAATCCTATAAAAAGAGATCGCTCTCCAGAAATGTAAAACGAGTACAGCTTTTCCCGGGGTATGTATGTTTGTCACAATCCAACCACAGCTGTCAAATTTGCACATCTGCTTCTGTATGTCTGTATCTCCTCTCAGACCACACACACTTGTGTACACACACCCCCAGCATTTTGTACAACGCTGGGTATAAAATAGCTGCGTCTCGATAGAAAAGCCACCCACACACTTAACTGCCACACCCCAGTCTGCTTCTATATCCAGCACAAGAAGCACTTTAGGGATTCTCAGAAAACAGAGGCGAGCCTTGAAAATCCAAGCCAAGGGCAGAGCCTGGGACCCCATTTTCTTTGGTAGGATCTCAGCCTTGTGGCATGTGAAGTCAGAATGAAGGACAAAGGTGCCCTGGAGCTTGTGCAGAACGCTGTTCCTTTTCTTATGTATGTGGGATTGGAGCAAGGGTAATCAACAGGGTGCCCCTCTAAGGTATCATTGGGACTCAAAATATCCATCACTTCCAGCCAAGCCTGGAAGATGGGAGCTGCCACCCAAAAAGGATTAAGGCTTTCCAGGACAAAAGGTGTGAACTCTGGTCAAAAGATGTCATTAAGAACTACTCGTGGGTAGCCTGCAGATAACACCAGACGGTTTTTGGGAGGGAGTTGTTAACTACAGGTTTCACTCGGCATGGGGACCCTTCTTCAGTCCGAGGTCGGCATTCTCTCCTAGGCAACCTCCCAAAGGCTGCATGCAAGCGGTAGGTGGAGCCAGAGGCTAAAGTGGGCAGGGCAGGGAATGCAAATTTCACCTTTGCATAATAGGCTAGTTTCCACACACACTCAAGGAGGGTTTGAAGCAGGGCCAGTGAGGGGGTGCGGTCCGAAGAGTTTCAGGGGCCAATTAGAAAGGCAGGGAGGGTCACATGTGGCCCTCGGGCCTGAGGTCCCCCATCCCTGCTTTACAAACAAAAATAGCAGAGGGTTGCTTGTTGATGGGAAGCAACATTGGGAGACGACAGCTGAAAAAAGAAGTGATGGGGAGGAGATTTCGCCACCCAAAGCCTTCTGGATCCAAATCCCTGCTTCTGTCACCCACAGAGATTCGGTTTCAAATGCCCCTCCCTGCCCCCCTTGACTACACCCGTGATCTGGGCTATACCTCTATCATGCCATTTTAAACAACCACACCTTCCCCCAAATAGCCCTGGGAGCTGCATTTCAGGGTGCTGAGAGAAGACACTGATTCACCTCACAGAGACACAGTTCTCAAGAGTGGTTTAACAATTGATCCCTCTTCCCAGGAAACTCCAGGAACTGTAGCTTTGAGAGGGGTAGAGGGGTCTCCTGCCAAATCTCAGGACCCTTTACAAAAACAGACTTTCCAGGATGATTTGGGGGAAGCCGTGGCTGCTGGAAGTTGTAAAATAGCGCTTTAAATTTATGAGGGGAGAAGGGGCCAATGCAGGATGTGTCTGTCAAAATTGTATGAGAAAATGAAGCAGTGGAAAATGAGGTTTCATACCGGGTAAAATTGAGGTTGGCGGAAAGAGCGGGCCATCTTTTGAGCATCACTGGGCAGAACTTTATGTTGATAACGAGTGCTGTGATTCGCAGAAGTGCTTTGAAACTGATATTAAAACGTAAAAAAGGGCCCTGGTGAATTAGACCCATCTAGTCCAGTTTCCTGTTCTCACAGAGGCCAGTCCAATGGCTCAGGGATGCTCAGAGGCAGGGCACAAAGGCAAGAGCCCTCCCTCAACTTGGCTCGCAAAAGGAGCCCTGATGGATCAGACCCAAAGGCCCACCTAGCATCTGTTTGCTTTGTTTTAGTTTGCTCCTGAGCATCTGGCAATTCAGAAGTATACTGCATCTGGGCATGGAAGTTCCATCTGGCCATCATGACTAGTAACTGCCCCTCCCTAACCAGGGCTGTAAGCTACGCACAATGCACCCTCAGCACAGAAAGCAGCATGCATTAGGACATGAGATTCAGTACCCAGAGAACATCAGCTTTCACTTAAACACACACACACACACACACACACAACTAAATATAAGCACATTCAGGCTCTAGGGGCTGTAAATGTAGATTCCTCCAAGGAAGTGTTTGAGCAGCGATTCCACTTATCTGGGGATAGGAAAGCAAGATGAATGCCATGCCAGATGAGACCAAAAGGTCCGTCGCCCTGTGTCCAACACTGCCAAGTCAGATGCTTCTGGAAAGATCGCAAGCAGTGCACGAAGGCAGCCCCGTTTATCCTCCTGCTTGCCCCCAGTGTTTGATATTCAGAGATGCACTGGGAAACGCAAGGGGCTGCCTCGTTACCCCAGGTGTTTGTCCCTGTAGCCCAGTACTGTCTACCCTGTCTGGCAGCAGCTCTTGGGGGCTTTGGTAGAGAAGGGTCTTACCCATTGTCTGTACATGATCCTTTGAACCCTAACCTGGGATTACATCAGCATGCAAAGAGGGTGCTCTGCCACTGGGCTACAGGTCTTGTAGGAAACAACACAGGAAGCTGTCTTCTACTGAGTTAGGATTAACATTTGCTTTCCTGGGTTTCGTCAGAGAGTCTCCTCCAGTTCTACCTGGAAACTGAACCCGGGGCCTTCTGCATGCATCGCAGATGCTCTACGCCCATCCACACACCGAGCTGCAGCTCTTCCCATACTGTGAACACAGCAATCTGACAAAGACTAAGTCCACCTAGCTTGATAATGTCTGCACTGACTGGCAGAGCACCTCCCTGGGGTTTAAGACTCCAGCAGCATTCACAGCCCCAACTAGAAAGGCCGGGAACTGAACCTGGGACCTTCTGCATGGAAGGCGGCTGCTCTGCCGCTGAGCTACAAGGTCCCTCCTCTGAATAACCGTCTCTGCACATGGAGAGTCTGCTTAGCTATGACAGCCAATAGCTAGCAGCAGCCCGACACCCCCCCCCCGTCCATTTCAGGTGGGGCGTCAATGCCAGGCATAAGGCATATCCCCCTTTGCTTCCATGGAGTGGGAATTAGTTCAGAGACACAGCTCAGAGCGAAGAACGCAGCTGTTGTGTGCAAAGTAGTTTTTATCGACACGAGGAAATCAAAGAGGCACGAAGGGGTTGCATCCCATGTCAGTCCTACTCAGAACAGGTTACTGAAGATGACAGACTTCGGCTTGTTAATTTCAGCGGGTCTGCTCTGAACAGGACTCAACTGGAAGCAACCCAAAGTCCTATGGGGCCATCCCTGTTCGTTCAGCCTGCATTTAAGTGTCAGCAATTCATTACAGGTTTACTAAGCAAGCAGATTAAGACAGCCACACCCTCCGAGCCACACCCATGTTGCCTTTAAGCTCCTCCCCCTTGTTTTCCCCCCGCCACTGCCGCCACGTGCCGAGGGAGACACCTACAGTTGTTGAGGAAAAGCAGGACAGCAAATCCTAGCGTGGAGGTGGCCAAGAGGATCAGGCAGATGTTGCAGGGGATCATGAAATATCGAACCACTAGGGAGACTTTGTGCTGGTACATCCGGTCCCTCTCCAAGGAGCTGGGCCCCATGGGGTACTGGCAAGCGGTCATGCCGCTCACTGGGGCCCAGGCCCCTACTGGGAGATCCAGGATAGCGGTTGCTCTGGGCACAAGGAAGCTTTCGCCCCTCGCTTGCCCGTTTCCAAAATGGTGGCTGCGTTCTAAGTGTTCTCAGGAACCGACATCCTCAGGCTGGCCGGCCGGCATGAGGAGTTCAGAGTTCAGGAGGAAGAACCAAACATCGCACAGACCATCTTGAGGTTGTAATCCAAATCTAGGCGAAGGGAAACCTAAGCCAAAGGAACTGGTGTCCCATCAGACTGCTTCCCCTCTGAGGGATTCGAAGAGTCATCCTCTCAGAACCAGTCATGAGCGCTGGGGTTCCGTCCTCAACAAGCAATGCCTGCCACGGCAAAAACTGTGAGGGAGGCTTTGAAGGGGCCCCCTGACTCTGGAACGCTCCCCAAATCTACCATCCGATTAGGAGAGAGGCCAGCTGGGGAAACAATGCAGGATAACTCCATCCAACGGCAACTCCTTCAGCAGACAGCTTTCGCGGAAATAAAAGGGGTTATAATCCTGGTTTTCAAGACTTGTCAAACCCTCAGACAAGGAGGAGTATGCTATTGTGGAGAAAAATTAGAGGGTGAGCGGGGGGAGATAGATCTTCCAAGGACCGCAAACATTAGTTGAGTCTTTGGGGGGAGGGTCCTCACAAGGCGTGGCTCACTATTAAACCGTCGACCCGGTTGCTGGGTGGTCCTCGGGGCTGGAGCGAGTTCCTCCAGCCCATGCGCACCTCTGACAACGCGTGTTGTCAGAGAAACGCATGTTGAAGAGAAACACAGAAGAAGTGAGAATGAAAACAGACCCCTGCATGTGACACACACACCCCGAAACTTAATCCAGAGAGGGAGCTGATGAATTCTCTTATCGCCTGGGAGCCAGGAGACGGGGTCAGAATCCCCTTTTCTCTGCTTCCTCTTTCAAAGGGATTCCAAAGTCCACCGAGGGCTCAGCTGCGGTTTCCTCGACAGCAGCTGGCGGCAGGGCTCTCTGGCTGGCGACGGGCTCTCTTGATGGGAGACGGATCCCGAGCTCCTTTCGCCGATGCCGGAACAGCTGCTGAGATGAGCTAAACGCACCGCCGCCTTCTCTCCCTGCACAGAGCCAGCACGCCAGCCCTCGCTACCGATTCCTCACACACCAGAAATGAATAAAACCATCCGAAGAGTAAGAAGCATAAAAAAGAAAGGAAACGTGAAACGCAGGCTTGCAAAAGGGCACAGAGCCCCGATTCAAGAGTTCTGGCAACACAGGGTGCCGCTCGCAGAGAAGCTCAGGATCGGAAGCCGCCAGGCGTACAACGCACGCCCAAGTTTCTCAAGCCGCCCCCCAACGACTCAGGGTGGCGAGAAAGCCAAGCGAGGAAACGAGATGAATGTCCGCGGCCGTTCCTTGGCTGTCCGTTGCCGTCCCCTGGGCACCGCTGCAGCTTTGCTGTCCTCACCCGGCGTGAGCTGTCCATGTCCGGACGTCTGTCAGCGGTTCCATCCTTCCCTGACCCAGGTCTCCCTCAAAACAAAACCAACAATGCAAGAGTTCGGCTGTGGCAAGGAGGGATGTTGGAGGCTCTCCTCCGCGGCTCAAGAGGTGGAGAAGCGGTTAAAAACAAAGGAGGGAAGATTGCGGTGTGTTCCGGAGGGAGCTGCTGTCATGCAAAGAGGAGGCAGGACCCCACGGGCACCACCCCCACTGCTTCCGAAAGATACCTCTGGAGCTACGGACACCTGTCAGCATTTCCAGGGAGATGGGAGGGAGCGGTGGGGAAGGAAGGCTCCGTTCAGCTCTCCCTGCCTCCCTGGAAGAGAGCGAAAGGGAAATTGTCTCCCCTCCCTCCGCTCTCTCGCTCTCTCCAACCATCCAACCCCCGCCCCCCTCGACAAGCCCCGCGTCTCATTTGTGAACTCAAGATGTTGAAAGGGGCGGAGAAGGCAGTGTCAAAACTCATTATGTGTCTCTTTCTCAGCCACTCTGAGCTTCTCGCCTCTCTGCACACGCACAGACACACACACACAAAAGGCGCACCCTCTGTCAGCAGGCAGGCACATACAGGCTGGGTCGCCTCAAGAGCTGATTTTTTTATTTTGGTATTTTTGAGTGAGGGGAAATGCCAGGGAAGATCCTGGCAGGATGGCGTGTCAAAAGGGGGGGAGGATAGCGATATGGATCGCGTTACAAGCTGTAATGGAGTACGCGGGGCAGGGTGTGCGGGCGGAGGCAGAGAGAAAGGATAAGAAGACGGAACAGGAGATCGCTACTTTTTGAAGGAAGGGAATTCCCTCTTTAGAAAAGCAGGAGGAATCGTCCCAGAGTTGTGAGCCGGGTGGATGTGAAAGCAGGGAGGGAATTAAAAACACCCTCCCCCAAGTCTCATAAAATTTTCGCATTGCAAGTGACATTCTTTCTCTCAGCTGCTGCTTCTCAGCTGGGACAAAGCCTGGGATGGCTTTTTTTAAAAAAAAAGACTGACAAAAATATTCGGAGGAGAAGCCTATCAATAGTTTATCCCCTCTCCCTCAGCTAAATGAAGCTTCCAGGCTCCAAAGCAGTATATCTCTGAATACATGTTGCTAGTGGATAAAGTCTGATGAGAAAGCATTTGCCACCACACATCTGCTTGTGAGTTTCCCAGAAACACTGTCTGCCCACTGTCGGAATGATCAAACATTTTTGCCTTAGCGCACATGTGCTACGACAGCCCGCACATGCGCACTGATTAGAGGAATGGAGTGTGATGTGACCTTCAAAATGGGATTCTAGGGCGGACAAAAGGGGAGGGGGCTTTGAATACAGAAGGTCCCAGGTTCAGTCCCCAGCATCTCCAGGTAGGGCTGAGAGAGACCTCTGCCAGAAAGCCCAGAGAGCTGCTGCCAGTCAGGGTTGACAATACTGAGCTAGATGGAACAATGGTCTGACTCACTATAAGGCAGTTTCCTATGTGCCTAGCTGATCACTGTGGGAAGCAGGATGATGGACTAGGTGGACCTTTGGTTTGGTCCAGCAAGGTTCGTCTTAGGTTCTTAAAACTGCCATCTTACACACTGTGAAAGCCTTCAGTAACCTAGTGCCTTCCAGATGTTTGGAGACTACAATTCCCATCAGCCCCTGCCAGCACAGCAGATGCAGGCCAAAACATCTGGAATGCACCAGGCTGGTAACGGCTACTCTAATGTACCATGAGAGCTGCTGCTGCTATACAAATTCTAATAAATAATAGTGATAATGAGCATGTTTCAATTAACCGCTGCACTAGTGGGAGCTAGTCCAAGGATTCCTGCCAGTGCAATGGAATTTTGGCCCCCTCTTCTGCCCATGAGCACCCCAGCAGTCACCAGATCTGCTCTGAAGGGTGTGTGGAAGCCCTAGAGCAGATTTAGGAAGGAATGTGTTACGGGAAGAGAGGGGTGCATTGTCCCATGAAGAACATGTGAGTTGTTCTGTGTGCACAGAGCGCTTCTTAGTGCTAGTGTGATGCGTCAGACTAGGACCTGGGAGACCTGGGTTCAAATCCCCACTCAGCCACAAAGCTCACTGAGTGACCTTGGACCCAGTCACTACCTTTCATCCTAACCTACCTCACAGGGCTGTTTTGGGGATGAAACTAGAGAAGGGGAGAGGCATGTATGCCACCCTGTTGGAGGAAAGGTGGAATATGAATGTGATAAACAATGATAAATAGTCAAGTACATTGCATACCACCCAAACTCATCCAGCCTCCTACAGAAGGGAGCCGGGTGGTGGAAGCATGTGACCATTTCAATTTCCCACAATGCTTCCAGCACAGCATATCTCTGGAGCATTCTGGGAAATAAACAATGGCGGAGGGACCCCACTGTGTCGAAGGCCCTCTCAAAACTAGAACTGGCCCTGCCGCTTATAAATTTTGCTCCTGGCGGCAGAACCTCCAGGAATCACGCAGAGGACCTGGAGGTGTGATTCATCAAAGGGGGCTGAGAAGCATTTCCACCTCACAGTGCTTTCGACAGGGGCCTAAGGGTAAAAATGTGTCCTAAAAGTGAAACAAGGTCTTGCACCAATGAGGCACGAGTTAAACACACAGAAACGCACCCTAATCAGCCTGTGGGACCGTCTCCATGCCTTAGCTAAGAATGCCTTGGATTTCAAAGCCACACTCTCTTGGAAACAGTTGGACCTAATCCAAAAGCTTTAAATCTCCCATCCCTCTTCCTCACCCCTGGAAGAAACATGGGGAGGGGGGAGTGGCAAACAATTAATTTGCATGCCTCCATTTGCATGTTTCCATATGCAAAGCAAGCCTAGCAAATCTCATGAGGACGGCAGGAATGTGCCCCTTTGAGAGGGCCCCCGCCAAATACGTGCAGGCAGGGTGCGAAGAAGCCTGTCCCTTTCCACGCTCCTTGGCAGCAGAATATGACCCCCCCCTTCCCCTGCACAGACAATGGTCTAGAGAAGGAGAAGGGGAAAGGGAGTAATTCACTGACAGAAGTGAACCTTGTCCAGGCAGACTTTTAACAGAGACCCGAACTGCGATCATCTATCTGTTTCTGGTCTGGCCAAATCAGACTGCAAGCAGAGGGCACAAAAGATGGAACATTCCTTCGTACAATCAACCAATCAATCAATCAATCAATCAATCAATCCCTACACACAGAAATAAAGAATCTCAAGGAGAAAGTCTCCCCCTGACATGCTAGATCTCTGCCTGCCTGCCTGTCTCTTTAGGGATTGATTGATTGATTGATTGATTGATTGATTGATGTACATCTGAAGGAGCATTTGAACATCTCCCTCCTGCAATACAGGAACACAGGAAGGTGCCCTATAGTAAGTCATGTCACTGGTCCATCTAACTCAGTATTGTCAGCACTGGAAGGCAGCAGCCTTCCAGAGTTTTAGGCAAGTGTCTTTCCCAGCCCTGCCTAGACATTCCGGTCGTTCTGCACTCAGAATTCATGCTCTACCACTGAGCTACAGCCCTCTCAACTCCAAATGAAATGGCATTAGCCTAGATTGTGGTTAACCACCTCAATAGAAACCAAGACATAAAGGGCAGATCTGAGAAGTGGAAGCATGGTGAAAAAAACAGAGAAGAGATCAGCCAAAAGGAAGAAAACTGGATCTCTGTTAAAGAGAGGTACTCAGTGCAATTTAATTTCAAAACCTCATATACAGGTGCATGAGGACTCATGCTTGTGGTGGCTCCTATGGCCAGGGAAGGAACTGTCTGTGCATGCTCATAGGTGATTCCGTCTCACCCCAAACTTGCACAAGCAGGGAAATAATCCAGTCATGGCTCTCCCCCCCCCCCCCAAAGACTCCTGGAAAGTGTGCCTGCCTTCTAAAGGGTCCTGTGACTTGTTAGGAGACATCAAATCCCTTCAGAGAGCTGCAATTCCCAGAGTTCCCTGTGAAGAGGAATTGATTGATAAACCTCTCTAAGTGCTCTGACTGCTGAGTTGCAGCACCCCCAAACCCGTCAAATCATATCACTGAAAATGTAAGACAGGAAGAGTCACAGATCTGTGTGGTCAAAAAGGCACACAGGCAATGGCAGGAGAATTCCTTTTCCACATATTACTATTGTTATTATTCCTTTTTGGCAAATAACATAAACACACCTATTGACATCTTCCCAAGCAGAACACAAGACGAGCCCTTCTGGATCAGGCCAGTGGCTCACCTAGTCCAGCATCCTGTTCTCACAGATGCCTCTGAGGAAACCCTCAGGCAAGACCTGAGCACAAAAGCACTCTTTCTTTCTGCAACTTTCAGGATCTGGCATTCAGAAGCAAACTTCCTCCAGCAGCCTAGCCACCATGGGTAGTAGCCATATCCTTATCCTTCATGAATTTGTCTAATCCACTTTTAAACCATCTAGGTTGGTGGCCATCACTGCCAGTTCACTGAGTCAGTTCCATAGTTTAACTATGTGCTGTGCGAAGAACTCTGCTCCGAATTTTCCAACATTCAAATGTCCCAGAGTTCTAGTGTCAGGAGAGGGAGGGGAAAAATGGTCTCTATCTATGTTCTCCACACTACACAATATCCTGGGGCCATTCCTAGGATTCATATGATTAAATCCTATGGATTTATTGGGAACTGCTGCTGGCATAAGAAGAGCTTTGCGGAATCAGGGCTAAGGTCTACCTGAGACTTCTCCAACCTGCCCCAGTCATCATGATCAATGGTCAGGGATGAGGGGAGTTGGGGGTGAATACCTTCCTGAATCTCCTGTCTCTGTTTGCTCATCAGCAAGCAGCCACCTAATTCCAACAGCGCTGTGTAGTCCAAGACAATTGCCAACGCAGACGGAGAAATTCTCCCCTAGAAACTTGTGATTCTTCAGTGCAAAAGATCCGTCTCCTAGGCGCCCTCTGCTGTCCACCGCTGCAAACTGCGCAATCCGTCCACTGCATTCCTGCCTTACCTCTCAGAAGCATGAGGTCATTTTCATACAATCATAGAATTATAGACTTGGAAGGGACCTCAAGGGTCATTTAGCCCAACCCCTTGCAATGCAGGAGTCTTAACATATGATCCCCATCCTGTTTGAAACCATACCAGACCCTGCTAAGCTTTGAATTATTACATTTGATTTACCCTACTCCAAGATGGGAGGAGAGGGGGGAAGCCGCCAGAACACTGGATCTGGAACTGAAATTTAAAATTCCCAGAAAGGTGAACCCATTCACAGATAGCAATTTGTTTATAAGAATCGATTTTTTGTTACACTGTATTTTATTATTGGCTTTGTTAAAACTTTAAGCTATTTTATTCCTTTTAACTGTATTTAAAACTTGTTTAATAATATATGCCCCTGTGGGAAATCTTCATTGTTTGGGAGAGCGGGTTAGAAATTCCTAAAGAGAACATATATATATTCTCCTAGCATGGTGAAATTAAAGTATTGCTTCTGCGTTTTGTCAAAGCCCCCCCCCCCAGGAAGCAGCACAGGGCAACGGCGCGCCACCCACCCGCCACTCCCAAGTCTCCCCCAGCACCGGCTTGGGGAGGTAATGCCAGGGGGCGGGAGTATCAGGGGGCAGGCTGCATCCACAAATACTGTATTTTCCCATGTATAAGACCAGGTTTCCCTCCCCCCCTAAAAAATAATGTCAAAAATTGGGGAGGCATCTATACAAGGATATACCCCCCCCCCGTTTTCTTAAATCTGAGACACCCAAAATAGGGGGCGTCTTATACATGGGGGCAACTTACAGACGGAAAAATACGGTAAGTCTTGAATTTTAAAGGTGTGGCTTATTTGCGGGTGCGTCTTATATTTGGGGCAATGCGGTACATATCCAAGATATACACAAGAAAGATCATGGTTGGAAGACTACAGTGGTACCTCAGGTTACAGATGCTTCAGGTTACAGATGCTTCAGGTTACAGACTCCGCTAACCCAGAAATAGTACCTTGGGTTAAGAACTTTGCTTCAGGATGAGAACAGAAATCGCGTGGCGGCAGCAGCAGGAGGCCCCATTAGCTAAAGTGGTACCTCAGGTTAAGAACAGCTTCAGGTTAAGAGCAGACCTCCGGAACGAATTAAGTTATTAACCTGAGGTACCACTGTACTCGGATGGCCTCCCCAGCGGCATGGGGTCATCCCATCGCTGGATTTGAAGAGTACAGGAAGTTGCCTTACGTTGTGTAAGAGAAGGGGTTGCGACTCGCCACCAAGGCACCTGTGTCCAAAAAACCTCCAAGCTCCCTGCTCCCTTGGTCATGAGGTGGTAAGGGCAGATAACCTTTATCGCTCTTGAAAAGTACACAGAGGTGAAGCAGGAAGCTGGAAGAAGGGCGCTCCATCCCACTTCAGACCTATGTGCTGTTCCAGGGCTCATGAGTGATTCTACAGAGGTACCTCGGGTTAAGAACTTAATTCGTTCTGGAGGTCCGTTCTTAATCTGAAACTGTTCTTAACCTGAGGTACCACTTTAGCTAATAGGGCCTCCCGCTGCCGCCATGCGATTTCTGTTCTCATCCTGAAGCAAAGTTCTTAACCCGAGGTACTATTTCTGGGTTAGCGGAGTCTGTAACCTGAAGCGTCTGTAACCTAAGGTACCACTGTACTGGTCTTTTTTACCATGATCCCTTGGTTCACACTTCATCTCTTTTGTGGGAGTGGCATGGCTGATCTGGAGGAGAGACATGACCGGATAGTGGCACTCACTCAAAAATCTAACTCTGTCCAAGGGCCAGGAAAAAGTTTGGCAACCCCTGAGCCAGGGCACTGGGCCATTCAGCTCAGCATTGTCTACACTGACCGGCAGAGGCTCTCCAGGGTTTCAGGCAGGGGACACTCCCAGCTTTATTTGGAGATATGAGGGATTGAACCTGGGACCTTCTGCAGGCAAAGCATATGCTCTGTCACTGAGCTACAGCCCTTCCCCTATAAATAAAGCTGTGTATGGGGGGGGGTAATCAAAGCCAGAAGGACATCCTTGTTATTGAATTAATTCTTAAGGGTTTAACAGATGGGTATTGTATTACTGTTTAGACGTAAACTTGCTTTATGTTTTGACATATGCTATGTTTTGTTATATTGGTTATTTTGATATCTTGTGTTAATTGAGCTGCTCTCTGCTGGCTGTTTGCTGTTCTGAGCTTCCCCTGGGAAGCAGGGGGAAAGCAAGATATAAGCAATAAGTGAAATGAAAATGAAATATTCAGCAATTGAACTGAACCGCCAGCTGGGAATTTACACTGTACAGATCTAGCATGGTTACCCACCCATCTATGTGCCCACACTTCTTATTGAGCTTTCGGCTTGTTGAGCTGGAGTTGGTTGCTAAGCATGCAAATAGATATGAGAGGAGGGCAGGGATAGGTAAAATGGGTATCATTATCACCAGTATAAATCAACAGGGAGTCTGCACACCCAGGTCCCGCTTTATGAACGCTCGCTAAACCTTGCTAGACACCCTGCAGATTCAGATATCCAACCAGAGTGCATTTTTTAAGTCCCTGTTTGCCTTTTGCTGGTTGGAGGAGGGGGGGGCAGGCAGTGAGGGAGGCAGAGATTCTAGCTCCTTGTGTTCCAGTAAACAGGACCTATGTGTACTTAAAATTAAAATTAAAAACTTAAAAGTTCTGTCCATCCATCTCAACAACAACAATAAGAAGAAGAGAGAGGAGAATGAACAGGGAAGCTATTGTTATGTTATTTAAAGGGAAAAGACTAGGGGCAAATCTCTGCTGCTGCCCCCACACACATTCCCCCTCTCTCTCCCTCTCTCTCCCTGCCCCTAACTTCACACATCCCCCCACAGCTTTATGAACCAGAGCGTTTAAATGCATTAAAGCCACTGTGTGGCCAAGCAGCCCCAGGGAGTTGCTAATGGGTTTGTTAGGAAAATGCTAGCAATGGGGAGACCACAGCTGCTCGCCTGCCACCAGAGACAGCCCAAAGGATGTATGGGGTGGGTGGACTGAAGGACAGGAGAGAACCAGGATGGGGAAGGAGGTCGCAGAAAGTTGGTCCCCCCCCCACCTGTGCTCTTAACCATCTTTGGCCTCTCACCTCAACAGCATTCACTAACCTCTGCCATTAAACCGATGACTGATGGCAGCTTTGTAAAGCTCTGTGCAGTGCGGAGAAAGTGGAGAGGGGCTGGTTGCTCTGGTCTGGCTTTTGTCTAAACAGGAGCCCCAACCCAGAAACAGAGACAGGAGCAGCGAAGAGGGAGCGCTAAGAAAAATCTGACTCTGAAGGATTAGGGCTTCTTCTTCTTTTCACTCTTCCTCCCTTTTATCTATCAGCCTGGCAGCCAAGGGTGTGGTTTCACAAGTTCTACCTCACCCAGTAGACTCCATTCTATTCCCCCACCACATAGTCATTGCTGCATTGCTCAGCCCCACTGGATGCCGGTCCATTTGGGGCAAATGAGGGCACTGCCCCACCAACCTCTGGAATCTCCCACCTACTTGCCTTCTTCCTTACAAGCTGAAGGGGCTGTCAGCTTCCTCCTCCTCAGTCTCAATATTGCTCAGGTGGGAGGAGGATGGAGACAAAACTAGAATGTGTTGGCTCTGACTGTCATTAGCTCTGACTCTGCTCTGGCGCCACCTACTGTTAAGCTCCCTGCTTTCTGCCCTACCAGTCCCAAAGACTTAGAGCAGGGGTCAGCAAACTTTTTCAGCAGGGGGCCAGTCCACTGTCCCTCTTTGTGGAGGGCCGGTCTATATTTTGAAAGAAAGAAAAAATTAACGAATTCCTATGCCCCACAAATAACCAAATAACCCAGAGATGCATTTTAAATAAAAGCACACATTCTACTCATGTAAAAACACGCCGATTCCTGGATTGTCTGCGGGCCGGATTTAGAAGGCGATTGGGCCGGATCCAGCCCCTGGGCCTTAGTTTGCCTACCAGTGACTTAGAGGTTTTTTGTTTGGGTTGTTTTGTTTTTTACACGTAAGCAGCATATAAATCCTACGGGATAAATAATGTCCTTGTTGAAAGCTCCCCCCTTACTTTTAAAAAAAACAACCTGTTTAGATTAGGGTTTTCTTATATCTGATAAAAAAAGATATTTTGTGCTGAGCTTTGTTACTCTTTTTCAAACATTAATAAAATCTATTTAAAAAATAATAATAAATCACCACCACCCAAAATCCTGCCTTTTAGCTTATAGAAACCCCTCTGCTGGTCTCCTGCTGCCTCAGCAAAGCCCCTTCACTCTCATTAAGAGAGCTTCCCAGTGTGAGATTTCTGCAAACCTTTGAGGTTCCCAGGGGTCTGCTGACCACCCCCTCCTGCACACAGACACTAGCAACTTGGCTGCAGAAGCACCCGCTCTCAGAAAATGAGTTTTGTTATTAGTATATGTGCTTAGGAAATCCAATTCAGCAGCCACGCTCTCCGACGGCAGGCCAGTGAGCCTGAGAGAATGGCAGTAATATCCCTGATCCCTTTCCAGCTGTGCACTGGGGTCTTTTAAAATCCAGTTTGGCTAGAGGGCTAATTGGTATTTATCCCGCAGCCCAGGCGGGCAGCATAAACAGGTTTTATGATGCCCCCTCTATCCAATCTAGCTCCCTCAAGGAACCCTGTCTGAAGTGGTAATGGGTTAACACAGAAACAGAGACACTGCACACTCTTCCTTTGCTTTTACAAGCTAATTAGCAGCATTAATGAGAAAAACAACCAAAAGGAGGTGAGGGTGGGGGAAGAGTCCGTTCCTGCCCCCTTTTAGCCTGCAGGGATTTTAATGATGTCATTTAATACGGCGGCGGCAGAAAAAGGGGCATGGGGGGGATCAGGAAGAGACAAACACCGAAGGAAGGAGAAAGGATAGCACAGTTGAGTCTAAATTCTGGAGGGAAAGCCTTCTTTATTGGCAATTGTTTTTGTGCATTCTCTGTGGAAGCCCCTAAGCAGCTGAATTCCCTCTCCACAGAGGGGCATCTGGAGCCTTCATGAAACAGCCCTGCTTCCCTGGCTTTTGATACCTGAGATACATGTTGTTGCGTGCCACCCCAATCTCCGAGTGGTGCAAGATTTCAGCGGTACCAGGCGCTCACCCCAGGTGATTTCTTGAACATGGGAAGCTGGGTCCAGGGATTTAGGAGTCTGCCATCCAGGTTGACTCTCCCAGACTTGGTTAAATTCTAACACCTACTAGACCCAAGAATGCATGGGAGCCTGTCACCCACAAACTCATAACAATATATTATAAAAAGGTAAGGGGACCCCTGACCATTAGGTCCAGTCATGGCCGACTCTGGGGTTGTGGCGCTCATCTCGCTTTATTGGCCGAGGGAGCCGGCGTACAGCTTCCGGGTCATGTGGCCAGCATGACTAAGCCGCTTCTGGCGAACCAGAGCAGCGCACGGAAACGCCGTTTACCTTCCCGCCGGAGCGGTACCTATTTATCTACTTGCACTCTGAGGTGCTTTTGAACTTCTAGGTGGGCAGGAGCAGGGACCGAGCAACGGGAGCTCACCCCGTTGCAGGGATTCAAACCGCCAACCTTCAGATCGCCAAGTCCTGGGCTCTGTGGTTTAACCCACAGCGCCACCCGCGTCCCTAACAATATATTATAAGTATAGCTATATTAGGACTCACCCTATTTGTGATTGTCATTTGGTTCAAACTGTTTTTACTGTTGTATTTGGCACTGCTGTGACTTGCCCTGGGACTTTCTGGAGAAGAGCAGTTGATGATGATAAATTATTATTGTTAACGGCGATGATGATAATAAAATTGTAGACTCCCTCAATTAAACAGCCCCTTCCCCACCACCAAAAACCAAAGGAAATCTAGCAGGGCTGGGGAACCTGTGGACTACAACTCCCCTAATCCCCAGTAGCTAGCATGGCCGGTGGTCAGGGATGATGGGAACTGTAGTCCACAACATCTGGAGAGCACAATATTGGCTACAGTAGCAGGCAGATAAAAGTCTTTCTTTTACGCTCTTCATTCACTTCTGGCAGAGTAACACTGCCACCTACTGGCCCGTCAGAGATAAGACGCACCTGGATTCAACTTTGGAAAAGAGATCAGCCAATTATTTTCAAGCCAAGAAATTTTGGGAGATGAGTCCTGCCCCCACCCCATCCACCAATCCTGCAGCTCAGGGCAGCCAACATGTGAGTTAAGTTTTCTCACAGCCCCTTCCTTGACCACAGAGGCCGGGATGGTGGCCAACTCAAACCAGACACTTTCCATTTAAAGCACGCAGACCTCCTTCCTGGCTGGAGGATTTTAGAGGCTTCTTGTTAACGGCTCGGCATAAAGGAGAAACAAGCCACAGAGGCGGCCGAGGGAGTGGAAGTGGGATTGGTCCCTTGGGGGTGCTTAGAATTAACAACAGCCTTACCATGATGGGCTGGCGGCGGGGAGGGAGGGTGTTTAAGCAGGGAACAGAATGGCGAACAATTGCTGTATATCAGGACCCTCAAGAGACAGGGTAATATAGCAAACCTAGAGTCTGAAAAAGGAATTCGCAAGCTGAATGAGCATAGAAAGCTGCATGAGACTGAGTCAGATACATAAGTCCATCTTCCTCAGTACTGCCTACGCCAGGCATAGGCAAACTCGGCCCTCCAGATGTTTTGGGACTACAACTCCCATCATCCCTGACCACTGGTCCTGTTAGCTAGGGATGATGGGAGTTGTAGTCCCAAAACATCTGGAGGGCTGTGTTTGCCTATGCCAGGGTTTCCACTGGGAGACTCTGATTGGAGGATCGAATCTGGGGGCCTTCTGCATGCCAAGCAGCTGCTCTAGCACTGAGCTATGACCCTTCCTCCCCTGGCTAGAATGCCCACCATTATTTATCCTCCCTTTCTATTTCTGGTGTTCATGGCGCAAGCACCATTCCTTATGCAGCCTAAAAAACAGCACCATCCATGGAAAAAGAGGGAGGCGTCAGTAGGCTTTGAGGAAACCCTAAGCGCTTGCAGAAGTTCACAAAATCTTCTTAAAGAGAAAACACTAAAGAGGGAGGGTAACACCCCCCCACCCAAAAAAAAAACAGCCCAATGAAGATTGAGCAGGATGGGGGTGTGAGGACAGGAAATTGGGGAGCAAGGGATAGAACAAAGAGAAGAAGGCATGGCTGGCTGGGAACGTGAACAGAAACCCTCCATAATAGTATTAATATTAATAAAGCAGTGTTAGAAACTGAGATATGAAAGCTAGGAGCTAAATGGCACCTTAAACCTAGATTACGGGAGCAACAAGGCAATGTCCAGGCACGCTTTTTTATAACAAGAATACAAAGCTGAAAACGAATGAACTGCAGGTAAAATATTACGTTCATTTTTCACAGTGGTCTAGTCCTTCCCCTGCCCACCCCTTTAATATTCTTAAGAGGGTCTCTTTTCCAGTCTTCAGAGAGTAGCTGGAAGTGGGGAGGCAGAAAAAGGTCCTCCTTTCCTTCCACTCTGCAGTTTTAATCTGAAATCTTAGGCGCAGTACTGCGCCCGGAACTCAGAAACTACTCACGCTAATGAAAATCCCTGTCGCAAAATGCGCCTAGAACAATGGGAGTTTCGGACACTGTCATAAAGCATTTCTGAGTGTGACTCTCCATGGTCTTCAGCAGAGAAAGGTCTTCTTCATCACCTCCTGAGGTGAGATAGCTCAGCTGGTAGAGCATGAGATTTTTAATCTCAGGGCTGTCTGTCCGAGCCCTACACTGGGCAGAATATTCCTGAATGGCAGGGGGCTAGACTAGGTGGGGTTTTTTGGTCCCTTCCATCTCTAAAATTCTATGATTCTATGATTCCTACCTGATCCCTTTTAACTTCAGATGCTTTTCCACTAAGCTTCCTTTAAGGAAGTGGTTCTCAAACTTTCTTCTCCAGGCCACATTTCAGAATGAAAATTTGTTTGTGCCATACCATTTTTTAAAAAAAATAAGAAATACATTGGAAAACAAAAAGAAACAACAACTAGCTGTGCTTGATTTATAACCTAGAACACAACTGCCTTAGAATATGATCATGGGACATCCAGAAAGTATAAAACAATGCACCTACGTTAAGAACAAGAATCATTCCCAAAATATAATTATAAACAAGCCTCTTACATAGGTATATATACCTTAAGTATGTATACAAACTCAATGAGAGGTGTGAGCTTGCTTTTGCCGAGTAATATCCTTTATATTAGGTCTAATTTGAGACTAACAAACTCTCATCTCCTCCTCAAGACAAAGAAGCCTTTCTTTTATCTGATCTTTTATTTGTCAGAGCTGAAAATCTCTGTTCACAACAATATGTGGGCCACTGGCCTGATCCTGCAGGTTCTTCTTATGCTTCTATTAAAAAATATTAACAGTCAACAAACCACAAGCCACCGGCAAAAAGCGAAGAAGAAAAAGAGAAGCATTCTGTCCTTCAACCAGAAGAGAGTGCTATTGAATTCCACTACACTTTCTTGCATAGATATGTATTCAGCTAAGGGAAAGTTATTTTCGAATGTGCAGGTTTTCAAGGTTGGCCGAGTGGAATGAAACTTTCCAGTCTCCTGGAGAAACCCAGAGGCTTAGTGATGCAACTGAGGAGGGATAGGGGCTTCATGCACACAATACACTTAAAGCACCCACACTCAAAATCATGGTAACTGTAGTTTGTTAAGAGTGCTAGAAGCTGTAGCTCTGTGAGGGCATAAACTACAGTTCCCAAGATTCTTTGCCAGGGGGGCTGGGCAGGTGGGGGCTGAATGAGCTTTAAATGTATGGTTTGCACACAGACTAGGAAGTTAGAACACACAATAGACTTCTTATAGTCTGGAGGTCAAGCACTCTGGAAAATAGTAATCTGCTTAGTGCATGAGTGAGAAGGCTCCAGCCTTAGGCTAAAATGTGGCCCTCCAAACCTTTGCATCCGGCCCTGGGCTGCACACCCAGCCCTGCTCTGTGCTTTTGCCAAGCCAGAAAATGTCCTTGACTTGTGAGGATCCATCGTTGCTCACCTCTGGAGGGGGGGGTGCACAACACTGGCTTTTTCATAGTTAGAATGGAGCCTCCTATACAATGCTAAACAATCCAATCTATTCTTCTATCCCCTTTTGCCTTGGCCCCAGCCATGCAGTCCCCAGAAGACTAACCACCAGGGAGCATGGCCAGTAGTGCTTTTCCAGATCCCCCCAGATGTTAAATTAGCTTAACGCCTCTCTCCCCCAACTGGCTGATATGTATATAAGCCCTTCTGGATCGGGGGAATCCCCATCAAAGCTGGTGTGGCATGGAATCGAACCCTGTCAGAAGTGTTCGCTGTGCCAAACTGGGCAGCCAGACTGCAGTGGAGACTGGTCCTTTAGGCGAAATGGGGAGGTCACTGCCCTACAGACCTCAGTCTGCCCTCAGCCAGATACCCCACCTGCATGCTTTTTTGACTTACAACCAGTCTAATGGCGTGGCCTTGAATGTGTTGCACATGAGGGTGCAGTTGGGGTAACTTCCTGGCACTCTGCACTAAATCCTGAAGAACTTCATCTCTCACTCTGAAAAGCTTAAGTTCCCAGCCATCATGGATGCAGAAATAGTCTTGAAAATTAGGTAGGGCAATTCTGGGTTCAATGCGGTGAGTAGCGCACTGCCCCCTCCCTGCATCAAGCAGAGCCAGAGTTTTAAGCCTTTTCTGCACGTATTTGCATTATTTGCAAAATTCCAGCAGGTTGCTGAGTTTGACGGTTTTTGGAACTTGGATCTCAGTGCAGAATCCCTCCCCACCCCCCGCGCTTTCAAGCACAGGCTATGCATCACCCTTGGCTTCCTTGCTGGCATAACACCCAAATACCAAGCAAGGAATTAAAAGCATTAAAAAGACAAATTGGAGTGGCTTGCCTCCGGGGGTGAGCTCAGAGCACCAGCGGCAATGTGGCATTTAGCAATCCAGAAAGCAAGGAGTATTTTGATTGTGGCACCCTCAGAAAGCGGGCGACTCGGTTCGGAGGCGGCTTGTGGGCCAGTTAAACCGCTTCCATGGGCCACTTCCGGCCCATGGGCATTAGGTTGCCGGCCCCTGGTATAGCATCTGCTTTGCATGCAGGTCTTGGGTTCAATCTCTAGGGAGCGCTAGGAAAGTTCCCTGCCCAAAACCCCAAAGAGCTTTTGTCAGGCAGTGTAGACAATACTGAACTAGATGGTAAAGGTAAAAGACCCCTGGATGGTTAAGTCCAGTCAAAGGTGACTGTGGGGTTGCAGAGCTCATCTCGCTTCAGGCCGAGGGAGCCGGTGTTTGTCCACAGAAAGCTTTCCGGGTCATGTGGCCAGCAGGACTAAACCATTTCTAGTGCAATGGAACACCATGACAGAAATCAGAGTGCACGGAAACACCGTTTACCTTCTCACTGCAGTGGTACCTATTTCTCTGTTTGAACTGGTGTGTTTTCGAACTGCTAGGTTGGCAGAAGCTGGGACACAGCAATGGGAGCTCGCTCCGTCATGCAGATTCAAACCACCGACCTTCTGATCAGCAAGCCCAAGACGCTCAGTGGTTTAGACCACAGTGCCACCCGCATCCCTACTGAACTAGATGGACTTAAACAGTATACTGGTCTGCTTTGCAGTGTGAACACTGTATTGTCTATACTGACTAGCAGGGACCCTTCGGAGTTTCAAGATGCCGGGGATTGAACCTGAGACCTCCTTCATGCTGAAAAAAATATTTTACCCCTGAGCTATGGGGCACATGTTTTGCTGGAGGGATGGTCTGCCTTGCTTCAGACACTAGGAGGCACCGTTTCATGTACCAGCCTGGTCCACCTGCCTGGAGTCCCTTATCGGGAGGATGTGTGTGTGTGTGCTGGAAACCCTGCAAGCTGCAGTCGCCCACCGGATAAAAGCAAAGGCATGTGAAACGCTTTGCAGAGAAGCAAGACATAACTTGGCAGAGCCGGTCAGATTCCAAATTCCAGTCCTCGCATGCCAGCCATATCTGCAGCGGCTGAACAAAGGGACCGACAGTTTATTCCTTCTCTTCAAAGCCAGTTGCTCCACCACACACACACACACTCCCTTGGCATCCTGGGATTCCCAGAGCTGGGGTTCCCGGGATGAACGGGCCACGGGCCAGGTTTGGGCCAACGGTGTGTCACACCCTCCCACTTGCCCTCTGTGCCTCCTGCCCTCTTGTTCCAAGAGCTCGGATATCCTGGTTTTAAAGACAGTGTTGGAGCAACAACCTCTCGCACTGTTTGGGTAGGCTGGGGGGGGGGACTGTAAATAAGAGGGGAGTAATTCAGCAGGAAAAAGCCCAGACGTTGGCATGTGGGGAATCTAAAAGGGGTAACTTCCAGTCCAGGGCAGGGAACCTTTTCCATGCCAAGGGCCGGATTTCATTCTCAGCAACCTTCAGGGGGCCAAGTGGGTGGAGCAATGGATGTAAATCTCACCTCTGCAGTAGGCTAGTTTCTACACACACCCTTCTCTATCCTATCAAGGGCTGCATCCAAGCCAAGCAAAAGCACCCAAGAGCAGGGCTGGTGAAGGATGTGACTTGGGGAAGAGTCGTGAGAGCCAGATAAAGAGGCCCCTGAGGTTCCACTGTTCTAGTCCTTATGGATGGAAAGACAGGGAGCAGGGGCATAGGAAGCGGGATGCAGCCGGCCCCGGGTGTCATCCCTGAGGGGGTAACAAAATGGAATACTGCCGGGAGGGTGGCACTTACCATGGGGCCTGGCCTGTAGCATGCCTGAGCCACACATCTCTCCTGGGAGTGACGTGGTGGCTCGGGGCTCTGTGCTGCCCGAAATGGCAGCATGGGGCTTGCGTCTGCCCGGTAGACTCTGTGGGCAGCTCGCCACAGCACCCCCCTGGTCGGATCGCCACAGCGGCCCCATGCGCGGATGGCGGCTCGCCCCCGCCGCTCTGGGTGCCGGAGCACCTAGCTGACAGGGTGTCTCATCCCTGTTCTACCTGGAGATGCTGTTGGGGATTGAACCTGTGTCCTTCTGCACCCAAAGCAGCTGCTCCACCCTTAGGCAGCAAGGCCTTCCATCTACACCATGAGTGCTATGCTGTCTCCCCTTCATCTAATTTTTCTTCTCCAAGTTTACATGCCCAAATGGTTCAAAACATTCCGTATCAGTTTCCAGAGGCCCTCGTCATCCGAAGTTCCCACCATTAAGGATGAAAACAAATGCAAAAAAACTTTCATTTCTGCATATAACAAGCAAACAGCAGCAGATTAGGAATTATGCCTTCTCCAGAAAGCAAGCTGTAGAGGAAGGAGAGACAAGCTGTCCACTGTCAGAGGAAGGAGGCCTCTGAATGTCAGCGGCTGGGAATCACATGGAGGGAGGAGCGCTTTCACACTCTGGGTTTTCCAGAAGAGCATTTGGATGTCCGCTGTGGGGGGAAAGGATGCTGGACAAGATGGGCCTGACCCTGCAGGGCCCTTCTGGAGGTCTTAAGCATTTTCTAACATTACAAATCAGTGTTTATTTTGTTCTTTCACATCAGGCCCACAACATTCACTCATTAATTTATTTTAAAATATATCAAAAAAGTTCCCCCAATGAATTCCATCAATCCCCCCCCCGACTTAAATGTGTTATAATCTCTAAGACCGATACTTATTAAACAACAACAAGCAATTAAAGCAATTAAAAATAAAAAACCCTGCCCACTATTTTCTGATAATTTGGTTGCCCTAATGAAGATGGTTCCTTAAGATGGGTTTTGGAACTCATCTTGAAAAAGGCATTTTTATCCTGTGGTTGACAAAAAGAGCAATACCTCCTTCAGTAACTGCTGTAAGTATCAACTGAAAACAAAGTACACCTCTCTTCTTCAGACAAACCGTTTCTCATAATCAATGTACTCAATTCATTAACCAGCAAGTGGACTAAGAGTGCAGCCCTATGCTTGCCTACTCAAATATAAGCCCATTGAGTTCAATGGGGCTTAATCTCAGGTTAAGAGTAGACACAGTTGCAGTTTTAACACTCATAAGATCAACCAAACCAAGGTTATTGGGTTGCTCAAGAGCCCTTTTTCACACCCATTAGTTCACTAGGCTGTATAACAACCTTGCAAGGTAGGCCAGAATTATATTCTCCACACTGCAAATGGGGAAGGAGAAAGCTAAGCGGGGAGAGAGAGATGAATTTTGAACTGAGAGTCTCTTGGATCAGAGCCCAGCCTCTATGTCACTAGTTGAACAAGTCTGGAAAAAGAGCTATGAGCTGATACCCCATTAAAGGATAAATGGATTGACTAATGAAGGAGTCTGAGAACAATGCCAGCACTTACCAGCAAGAAGTCTCTTATGTTCTTTAGAAAGCAGGGGAAGGGAGAAAGGGAAGAAGAAAAAGGAGAAAATAAGGCATTAGAACAGAAAGGACCAATGACAGTCATTCCAAACATGCATACAAGCAAAAGAGCCCGACAGAGCATGCCAAAGATCTATCAAGAACAGTACCCAGTTTCCAACAGAGGACAGCCAGAGAGATGCCTGTGGGAAGCTATTTGTCTCCTCACAAATGCCCACCCCTGCCCAAAGGCTTTTTAAAAAGACACTTGATTAATTATTAGGATAAAGACAAAATACAGTGGTGCCTCGCAAGACGAAATTAATTCGTTCCGCGAGTTTTTTCGTCTAGCGAATTTTTCGTCTTGCGAAGCACGGTGTCGGGAAAGTTTTGGAAAAGCTTCAAAAATCACCAAAGTCTTCAAAAACCTCAAAAAAGGCTACCACACCACATTCTATGAGTTGTTCCTCGAAGTCAAGTCGCAACTGTATTAATGGTGTTAAGAAAAAGGAAACAAACTTGCAAGACGTTTTCGTCTTGCGAAGCAAGCCCATAGGGAAATTCATCTTGCGAAGCAGCTCAAAAAACGCAAAACCCTTTCGTCTGGCGAGTTTTTCGTCTTGCGAGGCATTCGTCTTGCGGGGCACCACTGTACAAACAACAGCAAACATACTGATACAAAAAGAGAAAAAAGGAAAACTGAGACGAATAAGAGGGAAGGGGGAGGAGGAAAAGAATACCCTCCATTAATCCTTGTGATGCATCTTTTATAATCACAATCCAAGGAACTGAGAAAACACTTTATCTGCAAACTTAATTGGACCATTGTGGCTCTATGTTCCATCTCTGTTGTATATCAAACAGCATTAGGAAGCTGGACCAGGTGGGTCTTTTGACCTGAACCAGCAGTCAGTCTCTTAAGTTCTTTGTGTGCAATAACGGGGAAAGAACAGATCTGGAGTTCTCAGAAAAGAAAGCAATCCGTTCCTAGTAACTCACTGTGTTAAAAAAAAATAACATGTGAAACTCACGACAAAATGCTCCAGTTCAGGGTTCCAGCCAGCCATGCCTGCTTCCACTCCATTCCATCTCCTCCCTCTCCCCGCCCCACAATAATCACTCAGCATTCTGTGACCACTGAACCTGCTCAGTTAGGCTGCTTTCGGAGTGTCTCATTCTTTGGGGGGGTTCCCCTGCTTTAAAGAATTTTTAACTTTTGCAAACCTCAGAGTTTTTCTTAACCCTGATGATGATATCTCTCAGGTTAGGTTGGGTGGTACAGTTTTGGCTACATAACAATCCACAATTGGAGAATGAGATCTCTATTTGTATATGTAGCCTTCTCAGAGCTGATCTCCAACAAATTCTATAGGAAGCTGCCTTATAATGAGTCAGAACATTGGACCATCTAGCTCAGCACTCTCCAGGGTTTCAGGCAGGAATCTCTCCCTGAAGACTGAACCTGGGACCTTCTGCGTGCAATGCTGATGGCTCTACCACTGAGCTACAGTCCTTGCAATCAGAAGGCCTTAATATGCAGGTACTGTTTCACTCCGTATTGCACTTATTACCAGATACTTTCCAAGAGTGTCAGGCAGAATCTCTCCCAGCTCCACCTGGGAGATGCCAGGGATTGAACCTGAGACCTTCTGCAAGCAAACCAGATGTTCTGCCACTGGATTCCAACTCCCATCCTCCCATTTTTTTAAAAAAAAATAATCCAGCCATTTAATCAGGAGCAGCTTTTTAGTTAACTGTGAGAGCTGTGCATTACAAGTCCTGCTTTACGCCCCTAGTTGCCATCTTCCAATCTGGATTGCAAATCTCCTGGGCTCAAGAAGTTTCTGCACGCCATCCTATCCCTGACAGGATGAAAGAAAAAACGAATTCAGAGCAGACGGTCGCTGAAGTACTGAGCCCGCAGCTCCAACAGCCCAGCCTCTAAAAGACTGCCTGGAGCTCAAATAGCTCGAATGAAGATTTTCATTTTTATTTTTAGTGGGATGGTATTCCCTAGTTCCTGAGGTATTGGCATTATGTATGCTGGAGCAGTTGCTACAGAAAATGCGGGGGTGGGGTGGCAACCCTCTGGCCAGGGGGTCCTGCACCCTCCCGGGCGCCAGGCGGATAATGCCAGCAGCCTCCCAGACAAGAGGCTGAGAAAACGGGCGAACGTGACTTTGGAAGAGTCACAAACCGATGATGAGGGAAGGGAGGAGAACCTCCCAAATTGACCTTCCAAGCCTCCAGTGAGGACGCCTGCCAAGTCAATGATGCAATGCTGCTGGCAACCCGTGCCACTTCCCGTGCCATGGGCTTTGGGCTAGGATTATGGTGGCTTAAAATATCCCAGACCAGTAGGGTTATTTTTGGGATGGGGTGGAAGAATGAATAGGTTCTTTTGAGAGTTTGTGTGTGCGTGTGAGAGAGGAGAAGGATGCTGTTTCATGAGCACATACAAAAGATGAGTGATTTAAAAACAGACCAGAACCATCACCGGATTAACATAATGACCAGCAAGCTACCGGCAATGGCCCGTGGGCAGCCAGGCCAACAAAGGAAGCTGACACTGAGTCAGACCACTGGGTCCCTCTCGCAACTCACAGAGAACCCCCAATAAAAGAGAAGCAAAAGCTTCAGCAGAAACAGCTCAGAGAAAACTTGCAGATTGTTGGGAGAGATTCCAGCCCCACCCCACCCCAGTCCTTGCTCTGAATCAAAGGAGATTGTGATCTTGGTCTTAAAATCTGAGCTGTTTTGAGCATCTCTGGCTGGACAGGAACCTTCTAAACCAAACAAGGGAGGCAGATCAAAGGCCCATGTCTATCCCAAACACAGGAGGCATTGCAGATGGCCCTTTCTCACGGGTTCCCAAACTCTCCCCCCACCCACCCACCCACCACTTGAAATTTGCTAAGGGTCTTGGCAGACCACTTAATGACTTTCCTGCCTCTTGTAGGAAATGTAATGGGCTGCAACTGTGTGTGATTTTTAAATCACACTATAATTGCTTTCTTTCTGTCTTCTGTTGCTCCGCCCACCAACCCCAATGTCATTCCCCCCACATTAACCCACTTGGAGCAGCAACTCACAAAGAGGGCAGGGCCAACACCTGGGGCAGTGGGATTATTTAGGGGGGCCCTAAGAGGCAAGGGAGAGATGAAGGTGTAAATGACTATCAGGCTTTGAAAAGCTGGTATGACTGGATCAAGTTCATAACTTTTGTTGAATTAATTAAACTAAACAGTTTTAATTGGATTTTGAATAAAGGCACAATTAATTGTTACCGCGTTTATTGTGCCATTATCTTCCTTAGTGGGTTGTGCAAACCGCTATTTCTCTTTTTATAGGGAAAGGCGGGGGCACTGGAGATGAGTTCATGAAACCAAAGGGGTGGTGGCCCGAAAATGTTTGGCTCTTCCCAACCCCATTTTTTCATGCAAATAGAGGATTGTGATGTGCCACTACAAATCCTCCAGTGTAGAGTTTCAGGCAGGGGACATGCCCAACTCTACCTGGAGATTGGACCTGGGACCCTCTGCATGCAAAGCAGGTGCTCTAACCACTGAGCTACGGCCCTTCCCCATAGATCCTTGCCCCTGCTTCGTCCTGGCCCATCTCTATCCAAGCCTGGAAAAAAAGCAAGTCTCAAAGTCAATGAACTTGTCCTTGAAACAGAAGCACAATTCTCTCCCCACGTAATTCTCTTTCTTTTTAATTGCATTTATCTATATTGCACACATTAAAACAAAAAATACTTTCCTTGCAGTCTCTTTATCTTGACACCTGCGCTTTCTGAGCAGAATAGCAATGAAAGCTGGGGGGGGGGGCAGGGGGGAAAGGCAGAATCAAAGGGGAGTTTAGATCTACCAGCACTCAAAGGAGGTTCAGATGCTGCCAGGGTTGAATTCTGTCTGGACTGCACTTCTGTTCTAAAGCAAGTGGGAGAAGAGATGGGAAGGAGATGAAAGAAGTGCAAAATCAGAGAGAACATAAGAAGAGCCTCCCTGCTGGATCCGGGCAAAGGACCGTCCAGTTCAGCATCCTGTTCTCACAGTGGCCAACCACAGTTGGCCCAAGGGGAAGCCTGAAAGCTGGACCACTGGGATTCCCTGCAACTGGTGTTACTGCCTCTAACAGTGAGGGCAGAAGATGAATCCTTGGGATAGCTCAATTGGTAGAGCATGAGACTTACCGTATTTTTTGCTCTATAAGACTCACTTTTCCCCTCCTAAAAAGTAAGGGGAAATGTGTGTGCGTCTTATGGAGCGAATGCAGGCCGCGCAGCTATCCCAGAAGCCAGAACAGCAAGAGGGATTGCTGCTTTCACTGCGCAGCGATCCTTCTTGCTGTTCTGGCTTCTGAGATTCAGAATATTTTTTTTCTTTCTTGTTTTCTTCCTCCAAAAACTAGGTGCGTCTTGTGGTCTGGTGCGTCTTATAGAGCGAAAAATACGGTAATCTCAGGATTGTGGGTTCAAGTCCCATGTTGGGCATAAGATTCCTGCACTGCAGGAGTTGAACTGAATGACCCTCTTGGTCCCTCCCAATTCTACTATCCTATAGCCATTGTGACTAGTAGCCAATGATAGCCTGGTCCTCTGTGAATTTGTCAAATTCCTTTTAAAGCCAGTCAAGAAAAGTATGAAACAGGAATGGAATTTACAACATGTTATGGCTTTAAAAAAACACCTATTATAAGATGAGATAGGAAATGGCATTTAACCCCAAAGAAGCTAATTCAAATGTACAAAAAATGTGTAGTAAATACTTGAAATCTTTGGCAGGCTTTGCACAATTCGGACGAACTATAATATGCAGTTGATTAAGACATTTTAAGGACCCACAGAGGGGAGGATGGAAGTCCTAAGATTTGGAAGAATCTTGTTTTTATTTTAAAATTTTATTTGTGCTAAGTGTGTGACTTAATTTGTAAAATCAATAAAAATTATTTTAAAAAACAACAACAAATGTACAAAAGTGCATCAAACAAGGGATGGAAATGTAAGGACTGTGAGGGGTCATTGTATCATAGGTGGTGGACCTGCAGGAAGGCAGAGGCCTTTTGGGACATGATATATAATGAAATTAACAGAAGTTTTAAAGGGACATTTCCCCAAGAGGCCAGAATCCTTCCTGCTGGATATTCTAGACAGCGAAATCCAAAAGAAAGCCTCAACGCCTATTTATGTACAGTATGTGACTTCAGCAGCAAGGATTCTCTATGCTCAGAAATGGAAGGAGGGGAGAACACCCTCAGTGGGTTGATGAAAATCTTGGAATATGCAGAGATGGCAAAATTGACAGCACTGATAAAAGATACAAATTTATAATCTTTTAAAGAAGACGGGAAACCCTTTCTAGTTACCGTATTTTTCGCTCCATAGGACGCACTTTTTCCCCTCCAAAAATGAAGGGGAAATGTGTGTGCGTCCTATGGAGCGAATGCAGGCTTTCGCTGAAGCCTGGAGAGCGAGAGGCATCGGTGCGCACCGACCCCTCTCGCTCTCCAGGCTTCAGGAAGCTATCCGCAAGCCTTGCAAGCCCGGTGGGAGTTCCCGCGGGCTCACAAGGCTTGCAGGCAGCAGCCTGCAGCCCCGGCGAGTGTCCGCAAGCCTTGCGCGCCCGGCAGGAGGTCCCGCCGAGCGCGCGAGGCTTGGGGCAGCAGCCTGTCGCCCGAAGCACGGGGAGCCCTCCGGAGGGCCCCCGTGCTTCGGCGAGTGTCTGCAAGCCTTGCGCGCCCGGCAGGAGGTCCCGCCGAGCGCGCAAGGCTTGGGGCTGCAGCCTGTCGACCGAGCACGGGAGCCCTCCGGAGGGCTCCCGTGCTTCGGGCGAGTGTCTGCAAGTCTTGCGCGCCCGGCAGGAGGTCCCGCCGCGCGCGCAAGGCTTGGGGCGGCAGCCTGTCGCCCGAAGCACGGGGAGCCCTCCGGAGGGCTCCCGTGCTTCGGGCGAGTGTCTGCAAGCCTTGCGCGCCCGGCAGGAGGTCCCGCCGAGCGCGCAAGGCTTGGGGCGGCAGCCTGTCGCCCGAAGCACGGGAGCCCTCCGGAGGGCTCCCGTGCTTCGGGCGAGTGTCTGCAAGCCTTGCGCGCCCGGTGGGAGGTCCCGCCGAGCGCGCGAGGCTTGGGGCGGTAGCCTGCAGCCCGAAGCACGCGAGGCTTGGGGCGGCAGCGGGGAGGGGGGGGAAATAATTTTTTTTATTCATTTCCCCCCCAAAAAAACGAGGTGCGTCCTATGGGCCGGCGCGTCCTATAGAACGAAAAATACGGTATATAAAAAGTCATTTCTCTTATGCAAAGACCTAGGTAACGGTAAAAAAAGGTAAAGGACCCATAGACAGTTAAGTCCAGTCAATGGTGACTATGGGGTTGTGGCGTTCATCTTGCTTTCAGGCCGAGGGAGCCAGCATTTTGTCCCCAGACAGCTTTCCAGGTCATGTGGCCAACATGACTAAACCACTTCTGGCGCAACGGGACACCATGACAGAAACCAGAGCGCTCAGAAACACCATTTACCTTCCTGCCACAGCATTACCTATTTATCTACTTGCAATGGCATGCTTTCAAACTGGTAGGTGATCCAGCAGGGCTTTCCTTACGGTCTTATTCATTGCGATCTCCTTGGATGGCTTCAAAAGGGGATTAGATAAAATTCATAGAGGGTAAGGCTACCAATGGCTGCTGGTCATGGTGGCTGCCCACTATCTACAGCGCAGTCCGCCTCTTGAAACTGGGAATCACAAGTGGGAAGAGAGTTGCTCTTGTATTTGGGTCCTGCTGGCAGGTTTTCCCAGGCATCTGGTTGGCCACTGTGAGAACAAGATGTTGGAGGTGGTAGACCTTTTGACTTGATCCAGCAGCCAGGCTCTTCTGACTGTCTCAAACCCCTCCAAAAGATTCTCTTTTGTTTTTTTCCTGCTCCAGACTGGTTCCTTATAATACATGCACACCCTTTCCCCTCAAACAACCAGAAGGCAGGCAAAAGCCCTCTGCTTCTTGTAAAACTACGGAGCAATTAGACCCATTCCACCTGCTAGCATACGCATATCAATCAACTGGCAAGCGATCAACATAGGCCTATAAATCACACCCCCTCTCTGGAGGAGGGTGCGATTTTTTTGGAAAGGTTGGAGGGGAGGGGAGTGTTGATGAATTGCTTTGGCTTGGAGGGTTAAGGTGTGCTCCTTTCCGAAGAGAAAAGCCTGTTCGCTTCTCGCAAGGAGCTGACGGCCAAAACCAACTGCAGGCAAAACATTCAGCGCTGTAACAGAGCCGCCTCTGAAGGCCTCCAGAATTGGAAACAGACTTGTCGGAAGTGTCTCGTTAGGCATAATTGCTTTGCAAGGATTTGAGGTTTCCCTTCTGGGCCATCGACACCAGGACATCCCGCCCCGCCCCCCTGAATTGAGCATGAGCCCCTGTCTACTTTGGGGGTGGGCAGGCAAAGTATCTGCCTAGCTAGTGGGGAGGGGCAGAAACAAGAGGGACACTGTTGCTTTAAAATACAAGGCTGGCCAAACACCCGGGCGCAATATTTTTCCCGGATTCATCAGCTGAGTTCTGAGCCACAAATTCTTCAAAGGGAATTTCCAGCTTCATTAGGGGTGTCAGCAAAAGGGGGGGGAAAGAGAAGACCACCCTCCCAAATTTGTGGAAATCAAAAGGGTCCCACCCACCCAGCCCTACCGTGTGTGTGTGTGTGTGTGTGTGTGTGTGTGTGTGTGTTTAGGAAATCACAGACTTCAGCAGAAGCCCTGGGCAACAAGAGGTGGGTTTCACACACCTACCCTCTTTTGCTAGCCCTCTCCCTATTTTTGTTTTTTAAGCAATCAGCTAAACAAACAAACAAACAAACAAGCCGACACACATTTTCACACCTAGCAAATGAGGCTGTGAAAGTGTGGGCGATGGATTTTTGTTGCTCGGTGCTAATTAATACTGAGGCTCCTGTGCTAAAAAAAGGAAAGGTAAGGAGAGAGGTGGTCTCAGGTGTGTCCCATCTGCAAACACCCCCCTCCATTAGGCAGGCATTCAAGATAACCCAGTTAAGATTTGCCACTTGTAGTTCGCTTCACCCCATCAAGGCCCAGGCATAGGATTGTTCATTTGGGGCAATAGACTCCCACAGTGGCACAAGTGGGCAAGAATCACCCCCTACTTTTTATGTCCAGCAACTGACATTTAGAACATGGCATCTCCATTTAGCTATGATGGTGGTTGAAAGCCCTTTCCCCCCTCTAAGCAAAGGGCCGTGACACAGCCTGTATATGATTAGTGGGCGAGTCAAGTCAGGGACTGGCATGAAATTATGTTTTAGGTGCCCACAAGATTGTGGCTATACACTAGATACATATCTGAAAGAGGTCTGCAGGGTGGCAACAAGAGAACAGAGTCTTTTCTGTGGTGGCGCCCCGCTTGTGGAGTGCTCTCCCCAGGGAGTAGAGCACCACCTGGCACCTTCGTTACATATCTTTAGGCGCCAGGAAAATTAAACAATCTATGGGCTTTTAAATTGAGGGGATTATTGTTTTCATTTGTTATTATTGCATGTATTGTTGTATGTCACCCAAGCGATGTGAGATTCCAGGGGTTCCAAGCTCTTACCCATGGTTTGTCTTCTTTCGGAATGAGAGACAGTGGAGATTGTGGTGTCTATATGATATATGGTTTATTTATACATATATACAACCTGAGATGGAGGAGTTCACAACATTAACACACCACAAGAGGGTCTTGCTTCTCCCATAGCCACAACCTTGGTTTCCAACAGAAATCAGGCATGACTGTCTATCAGCTGCCCAGCCTGCAATCTGCCAGCTTCTAGCTCATACAACTCAACTCTCAACTCTGGCCTTTGTCGTTCTATATACCAGATAATTGAGGCTCAGGCTACTACCTCACCAGGAACCTAACTATTCCAGGAATTTGAATCCTTGCTTAGATTTTTTAAATACTTGCTAGATCCAGGAATTAGAAGGTTTCAGCATATAGCGTACCTCCCAAAAAAAACACATAACAGCATGTTTGTGTTTTTATGTTGTAAACTGCCCTGTACAGAAATTTTAATAATAATAATAATAGTAATAATAATATTGACTCAGACTAGGACCCAAGGGACCATGGTTCAAATCCCCATGCAGCTGTGGAGCTCACCAAGTGACAATGAGTCAGTCACAATCTTTCATCCTAAACTCTCTCTTCATAAGACTAGAATCCCGGGCCATGCGAAGATGATTGCTGGGAGATTCACAACAGACAAAAGGAAGTCCTTCACAGAGCGCATAGTTAAACTATGGAACTCAATCCCACAGGAGGCAGTGATGGCCATCAACTTAGATGGCTTCCCCACCACCACCACCAATAAAAACCTAGACAAATTCATGAAGGAGAAGGCTATTTCTCCCCCTCCCAATTATATCCTCACAACAACCCTGTGAAGTAGGGCAGGCTGAGAGGCAGTGGGGGTTTGATGCTAGCCCAGCCCTCTTAACCACTACATC